GATGCTGGGGTAGGGAAAGTCTCGGATATTAAGAAACCACTATATTCAGAATTAGGCCGAAACCTGGGCCTGGATTCGGTGAATTGGGTTCAGTTGGCGATATATATCTGGCTTCACGACAGGGTGTCGGCAATCGCCGTCTTCTTACGTTGGGCACATCAAGTAACACAGAAGAAACTAGAACAGACATCAAGAGGAAGAATTCGAGATGCTTCAGCTAAGCTATTTCTGACCCTGACTCTTCGATCACATCGAAGTCACATCACAGTCTAGGTCTCAAATAGAGGGAGATTGACATCCGTAGTGGAATAACTGTGTTCAGTGCAGAGTGGATGAAGGGCATGCGCCTTCTCAAATTTACCTTACTAGTGGGACAGTTAGGTTTGGAAATAGAGAATTAAGTAGACTCGATGCAAGTCTGCTTCACTATAAGCAAATTCAAGTGCAAGTCACCGCTGCGCCGTGGCTGCCCAAGCCGGCCAACCGTCGAGTCAACGATGTTTGGGGGAGTCATAGCTTGTCTCCGGTAGAAGTTCTCGCTTGGAATGCAAAGCGAAGTGCTTGAGCAGGACGCGTACAAAAGTTTTACTTGCGTGTTAAAAAGGGTACTCTTTAGTTGTTGTCGCAGAAATGCCAGTTTACAGTTGGTACCGGTATCTTTGGATCTTGAAGAATTTGTCAATATCTTCACTTTCAGTGAAATAAATGAGTTCGTTTATTCAGAAGACAAGGACTGCCATGTTTGCAGATGTCAGCAAAATACGAACCGATGCTCAGGTCTTTCCGTCTGGCACACACCGGGCTGTTCTGATCATCTCCGACAAATCAGTGTCAGTGTGAAGTTTGACGTACTGGAGTCTGCCCATTGTCGATTGGCAGACCGGAAATTGAAGATTGAGGACTCTCCTGAAGTTATTAGTCTTGCGTTCCAGGGTTCGCGTTTTCTCATAGAGTAGCGTTCTTCCGTCAGGTCTGAGCAGCAACTTCGTTCCGGAAGACTGAGCTGTATATGGCCATGATGGACGGGAAAAGTTTCTTCCATTGACAACAAGCAGATTAACCTCGAATTTCCTCCACCTCGTAGGGATGAGTAGAGTGCAGTCTTCTCGTTATTCGACGTCGAATCTCGACTTTGTTATCCGGATGCCACAGCGGTCTCCTCACGAACAGGCAGTTTAGCTATTGCCGGGAATGACTAGCTTTTTGGCTGCTATTAAGCATATGTGCCAGTTCAGGTCCTCGTAGAACATGTTCACATCACTTCCAGTCGTTGTTGACTGGTGAGACCGGATAATTGTGACCAATTACTTTCAATTAAACAACCATCTTGTCTTGATAATTCTTTAATTTCTTTTCTCTCCCTCTCTTTCGTGAGCATATTTTCGAGGCCATTCCTGGTAATTAAAGCCACTTCAGCATCACGTATTTTTTTTACGTTTGATGGTCGTTCAGGAAGAACGCGTATACTCCCCCGACTGACCGGATCCCTCTTCCCTGAGGTTAACGAAACTCGCAGTGTTTCCAGCTATTCTGAGCAATCGGACTAACTGATTAGTCTTTGGGCTGTTTAAAAGGAATGGACTTGGCTACCTGGATGCGCGAAGTCTCTCCGGTCGGAATGAACCAGAAACACAACATTAAAATTAGCGCGTGTCGACCGTGCAGCAACAGACCGGATGGGGTAGGGCAGCTGTGTGAGGGTATAAGTTCTGGCCCCTTCTCTTTAGAGGTAAGTGGCGCTTCCCTAGATCTGACTGACTTGACCTCCTGGCTGCTAGCGTTTTTCACTGCTGCATACCGAATGACAGGAAGAAAATAACTTGAACTTATTTGACCTGCCTGCTGGGAGAGATGTAAACTATCACCATGGGACATAGAAGTTGTTTTTTTATGTGATTAAAGTGATTTTGACGAGGATACCTGAATTACGCTAGAGGGTACTCCCCGACTTAGCCTCCCTGGGACTTCGCTATGTTCCCAAGAATGAAAACAATTAAAGTAGAAGCGCCTTCAGAGCGTAGAAGTTGTTAAGAAAAAATCGTCAGAGGCACTTCATAGCATAACATTTTGAAGGGATTAATGCCTTTAAAATGTTATCCTTAATAAGGAAATTTAAATAAATAATTACCGTTTCTCTGGATACCGTTTGTTTTGAGGTCTCACGATAGAGCAAAGGACTCGCATTCTGTCGCGCAGTCAGGCCAGGCAAGCGGACCCTACTCCCACATGACTTTTTAAACTAAAAGTACCGAACTGATACTGTAGCATATGTCTGTCTCTTCGATTTACGATATCTCCCAGTAGTACTCTGACGTTTAAAAGGTTAGGTTGTGAAAAGGAGAAATTCACTACTGCGTGGCAAATTCGAACTGCTGACACCGGGGATTTACGTAGAATGGCGCTCTCGGGTCTCGACCCTACTTATACTTCGTGGTTACTTTCGTTTATTAAGTAGAAACGTTTACCCAATATAATGAGTTAGTAGGGTGGAGACTTTGACCATGAGCAGTTTAGATGGTTGCTGTGCCTTTCACACTGAACACGACCTATCAATGAAGGTTTGTTGTTTATCACTGGGATTTTTCGTAGAATTTTCTAACTGATATGAGTGAGATTGGGCTAGGAGAGTCGGATTAGGCATTGCTAAGCCGCGGATCAGAAATTTTCGGGTTGGGTTCACTAATTTGACGCACGTCTGGATGCTGACACCGATTTCCCGAGACCCGGGCTGGAATTCTTCCTCTATAGTAAACTGGGCTGCCACTCCGTCGTCGTGCTTCTAAAAGACTCAATCGCGGACTGGAATTCACCCAGCCCATTCGTAAACTTCGTTACTGGCGTGCGTCCGTACAACTATAAGTAAATACGAGTGTTAAGGTCAACGCTCTTGTGGAGGCAAATGAGCGTAGCAGAGGGACGCTGACCGATCAGATCATGGGGCACGCTCGTTCCAGCGTGTCCTGAGGCTTAACCTAGAGCTCTCACAGACAGTTACGTTTTCAAACTTGTACAGGTACCCATAATTGGCGACCATTTAAGTGCAACCAGGGAGC